AGTTGTGGGGATCGAACCACGGCAACCTGAGCCTGACTGCTTTGTTGAAGCAGCCACTTAAAGAACTGAGCTAAGGGGCAGGCCCCCATATTCTTGTAAATTTAAACAAATAGCAAATCACTGCATCAACAGTGATGATTTAAAGTTTTAGTCTAGAGCTGGGGAGATAACTTGGTGGTCTAAGTGCCTGCCTTACAAGCTTAGGGACTAGGGTTCGATCCCTGGTACCACATGCCGTGCTGTACTGGAACCACCAAAACTGGGTACGGTTGTGCATGCCTGTAATCCCTGCACTGGGGAAGCTGACCCAGGAGGATCACTGCGAGTCTGAGCTGCGTAGTATGAGTAGTATGAGACCTCGTACCAAATAAATAAATAAATAAAAGATTTTAAAGAAAGATAAAGTTGTAGTCTAGCTTCACCACCGCTTACTTCAAAACAATGCTGTGACAGCTTTAGTGAGATTTTACTGACCTTTTAATCAGATCTGGAGATATAGCTAGCATTGGCTTCAAGTTTTTTGTTTTGTTTTTTTCCAGTACTCAGGATTACAATTGGGGCCTGAAGCATGTTAGGTAAGCTTTCCCCCACTGAGCTACATTCCTAGTCTTTTAATTTTTAAAATTTTGAAACAGTATCTCACTAAGTTGCCTTAGGCTGGGCTTGAGCTTGTGACCCTTGTGCCTCAGCCTCCTAAGTGACCAGGGTTACAGCAGTGTGTCACTGTGCCAGACAAAGATATTTTTTAAGGTGGCGGCACCTGTAATTCGTGAGAGGTAAAACTAATAGACAATAAACAAATGAATTTCTACTTTGGAAGCACTTTTTGCCTATTCCATAAGACTGTTTTACATAGAATAATATGAAGTCTAGCTTCATCTTCCCTTATTTTTTCATCAGGAGAAAAAATGTAACTCTTAGATGAATTAATCAATTATGTATAAGCATTTACTATGCAGAACTCACTTGCTATAAGCTATAATAATGATTCTTGACCTTCTCAGAATTTATCATGTGTTAATGACTCCAGGGGATTCTTCAGAGGGCCTTCGAGGTGGCATTTCAAAGTCACTAAAGAAAGAAGGTTACAAGAGGAATCTGAGATTAATGTGGAGAGGCTGGGACTATAGTAAAAGGAGGTAAGTGGAAGGCAAAGGGCCGAGTTGGAGGGCAAAGGCCAGGGAAGGTGACCCGACACTGTGCAGGAGGAAAGGATGGCTGACCCTACAGTCAAAGCTGCTTGGGCAAACTGGTAGCTCTGGGCCTTTGAGAGATAGGGGCTGTGTTCCCCAAAGACTAGAGCTGAGAGAAACCATTCAGCTGGGAACTGAAGGATCATCCAGACACAGCTGTGACCCAGCGTGTCAGGCTGGGTGGGGTGAGACTCGAGACCCAGGGTGGGTGAGGGTGATGCACAGAAGCAACTTGTGGGAGAGATTTCTGAATCCTGAGACCTCACACCCAGGAAAAAGGATGTGGCAAGAGTGTAAGTTACCTCGGCTGCATTTTGGAGCTGGACTCTACGGAAGTATTTGGACCCTAAGATCGTCTTATGTAATGGCCCTTGGTGATTTGACTATGATTAGTAACCAGAATGAGGAGTGATGAAACCCCCAATTCAACAGTAAGGCTAGCAGTCCACGGAGACCATGTGTGTCGGATGCCTAGTCTCTGCCACTTTTCACCTCCTCATGTCCCCTGATGTTGCTACTTAAATATAATCAAGATGACTTATGAAAGGAACTTTCTCACACCTGAGAAGCGCAGTATTTACATTGTACTGGAGAGGACAGCCTATGTTCATGTTTCTCAGCCCTGCCTGGCCCCTGTCCATCCTTTATCTTACTTCTGTTGCCCACCACCTGCTGCTACCAGTGACCCACTATTGCCACTGCTACCATGACTTTGGGTATTTGCTGTCATGCACAGTACTTTTTTTTTTTTTTTTTTTTTGTGGTACTGGGGATTGAACTCAGGCCCTTGTGAGTTATTCTACTGAGCCATCTCCCTGGCCCAACATTTTCCAATCCAGTTGTTTACCCTATGTCCAAACAAAGAGGGTGGAAAGCAGGGTGTTGTGACCTAGGGAGGTATTTTCAAATGTAACATACGGCTATATTCTGTGTAGCAAAAACTGAGGTGGTGGGTAAGAAAAGAGTTAAGTGAGTAATTTGTACTTACATTATAATAAGATAAAGGCAGAACATAAATGATCACACTAACGTTTTCTAAAACCCAAACAGAAGCTCACTTTAAATGTGTTTCCTGTATTGTAGTTTTTCTGTTTTCTAAATGGAATCTTATGACTACTATTCACCAGCTTCAAGGCAAATTTTTAAAAAGTACCACACATGCCATGTGTAGAGTCAAGAGTTATAGCACTGACACGACTTTATTTTTAAGATTTCATTTGTTAAATAGCCCTTTAAAAATCTCAATGAGTCTGGGTGTGGTGGTGCACACCTATAATCTCAGCCCCGGGGAGGTTGAAAACAGGAGGCTCACTAGGAGTCTGAGCTGTGTGGCAAGACCCTGTAGCAAATACATAAAAACAAAACAAAACAAAAAACACACACACAAAAAAAAACCCCTCAATGAAATGCAACACAGAATTTACACTTTTTGCTTTGCGGAACTGGGGATTGAACTCAGGCCCTTGCGCTTACCAGGCAAGCACTTATTCTACTGAGCCATCTCCCTGGCCCCAGAATTTACACTTATGATATTATTCCTTGTTTTTTTTTCTTTAAGCAAAAAGAAGTCCCTTTTAAAATAAGGATTTTGGTGATAGACCTTGGTCCAGGTGAAATAGAATGAGGAGGACCAGCATCTGGGTTAGACATTGATACTTCATACAGAGTTTAAGAACTATAGAGGAGCAAAAGTCTGTCAGAAATAAAAATAAACTTGGAACTCTCAGGGAAAACATGAATGCAGTCAGTTATCTATATAGATTATTTTTTTGCAATTTAAATGATGATTATTAAGTAATGTAAATGGTAGTTGTTCACTGGTGTTTTGTCAAATGTTGTCATAGAGAATAAAATTACTTGTAAGGTCATTTTTGAAATTAATGATGTGAGAATGCCTTAAAGTATTTGGTAGTGGAAAAGGGAGAGAGAGAGAGAGAGAGAGAGAGAGAGAGAGAGAGAGAGAGAGAGAGAGAGAAAGAAAGGGAAATGCCTCATAATTAGTTACTAACATAATAAAGAACTTAAGTTTTTTTCTCTTTGGTTAATGTTATGGTTTGTGCTTAGATGTCTCCCCCCAGAAGTCTCATGCAGTCACGGGCTGGGTGGGCTTCTACAGTTTATGACTGACTCATGGTCCAATGCTGGGATTATGTGTGTGAGTTCTATGCCCACTCTGGGGCAGGGAGTCAGCATAAAATAGCAAGGAGGAAGAGAAGCTTGCTCTCTTCTTCCTCTCTTTTTGCCCTTGTTTCATTTTTATTTTATTTATTATTAATATTTTTGTACCAGGGATTGAACGTAGGACATTATGCTTGCCAGGTAGGCATCGAGCTATCTCCCTGACCCAATTTTTTTTTAAAGAGAATAAAAGAAATAAAAAAACGATACAGAATTTCAAAACAAGTTGATGGAAAATTAACAGTGGTTATTATATTGCATAGTTGTATCTTCAAAGTGGCCATTCAGATAACCAGATATAAGCATGTAAGGCTGATCAAGCAATATAAACACTAACTGTTCCTTTCAATGAACTAATGGAAATCAGTAGTACCATTATCTTAGCTATCATAATTCCCCCCCCCCTTTTCTTTTCTCTTTTACCCCATCCCAGTTATTCTTTTGGTCTTTCCTTCTCGTGTAGTTTCTGTTTCACAATATCCATTGTATTGTACCTTTCAGATTTTATTTACACCTTCAGGTTCTTACCCTAGGAAGACAATATGATGTTTACACATGCGAGTCTGATTTATTTCACTTCAGAGTATGGTCTCTAGTTGCATCCATTTACCTGTAAGAGCCTTGAGTTTATCTTTCTTTAAAGCTGCATAGTAGTCCATTGTATAAAAATATCACATCTGTTCCTCAGTTGATGCACATTTGGGTTCTTTCCAAGATTTCACTATGACAAACTATGCTGCTATTCCACTGCCGCGAAGAGTTGCCCCTCAACCACACTGCCCTGTCTTGGAGCCAGCTGGTTATAGACTGAAACCTCTATAACCTGTGAGTTAAATAAACCTTTCCCTCTTTTAGTTTTGGGTGTTGGGTATTTGGTCTCAGCAATGACAGAAAGTAACCAAGACAATTGGTACCAGGAGAAGTGGGATCATTGGTGTGATACCTGGCCGTGGGGCTTAACAGCCTTGGGAATTAATTTGGAAAGGTTTTTAGAGACTGGCCTAGAAGCAGGCCCTATATGCTGTCAACTCTATTGGAGACTCTGGTGGGAGCCTGGAACATCAGAGTACTGATGGAAATGCTGCCAGCTAAGAATGACAAAAGAAAGAAAGGAAAAAGATATATTTATGTATATATGCAGGATAATTTGGATAATATTGCCAATTTCTGCTGGACTCTTGAAAGGAGCAGTTAATGCCTACAATTTTTCTCTTTGATTCTTAATTCTTTCTTTTGTATTTCTTAAAACTTAAAAAACCAATTATGCATGTTTTTTAATTTTTGTATTTTAGGGGAGGGTCTACAGGGTGTTCAGGGTCTCACTACTAGATCGGACTCATAGTGATCCACCTGTTTATAGCCTCCCGAGATCTTGGATTACAGCCGTGCACCACAGTGCCAAGTCTCAACTGCTATCTCAGTGCGGGCGGGGCCAGCATGGCAGGCCCGGGGATCCAACCCCTGGCTCCGGCGCCTGTTAGCAGGGGCTTTAATCCTTTATACTCTCTGTATTAAAAGAAAAAAAAAAATCTGGGGTGGCAGTCACAATATACCAAGCATCCCGATCAAACTGAGGTATCTACCAATCGTCTAGAAGTTTCTAAACGTTAGCCACGTTTTGAATGGTCAAATAGTACACTTTTTAAGTTTTGACCTAAATACTGAAAAGGGAGAGGGGCGGGAGCTGTGATGATAACACAGTGACAGAGTTAACTGTGCATGTTTTAAAGGAGTAGAGAAGGCCTGGGCAAGAATCACTAGTGTCAACTTACTGCTCTCTGCCACGGCGAGCCTCATCCTGGTCCTTGCACTGGCGGCGGCGCTGTCTGGCGGAGGCGGTCGGCGCAGCTGATGAAGATCCCGACTCTGAATCTTCCGAGCTTTGCCCTCCGGGACTATTAACATCAAAAAGATGCTGTTCTACTGCTGTCCGGATTGTTCTTTCTAAGAGTCTGGTTACAAAACAAAAACCACACAAAGAGCCACTCAGGCTATCAAGTTCACCAACGATTTCCTTTAAAAAGATGTGTCCCGATTTTGGAAACACCTCTATTCCCTGTATCATTAGACAGCTCAAGTATAATGCCTAAATGTAAAGATACTGCCATTGTGCATTAAAAGCAAAGCTAACTGGAACAGAAGTCCAACAATTTCAGAACTGTTTCTCATCTTTGTGAATCTAGAATTACTGAAAATCTCATGTTAAGTCTAGGAAAAATTATTATTATTTTAAAAGATGTATTTATTTATTTATTTGATACAGGGTCTTGCTACACAGCTCAGACTCCTAGTGATCTTCCTGTCTCAGCCTCCCCAGTGCTGGGATTACAGGCCTGCATCATCATGCCCAGTTTCAGTGGTTGACACTGCATGCCTGGAAGTCTAAGGTTGGCATGGCGTGTAGTACTGGGGATTAAACCTGGGTCCTTGTGCTTGCCAGGCAGGTGCTTAGACCGCCGAGCTATCTCCCTAGCCAAGTCTAGGAAAAACTATGAAATATTTAAGAAATATATCTCCTTTAATGTAAGACAGAAAGAGGAAATATTTTTTTCTTTGTAGAAGAATAATGAGCACATTCTTACAAAGGCAAGTTCCTTCCAGATTCCATACCAATTTTGCAGAGGACGCAAACAAGATTTACAAAGCAAAGTGGCACTAATAGTTTTAGGATATTGCATTATATATTCAGAATCCCATTAAATAAAATGATATAGGAAATAATGCTACTTGGAAAAATTCCTCAGCTTGTCAGAATAATTACATAACAATACATGGCACAGTCATTTTTGTCTTCCAGTGCAGTCAGTTGTGATGTACAAACTGAAGTTGTAGTAAACACAACCCAAAATATACTCCAGTTGGAAGCACAGATGTACTTTGTTCAGCCCGAGGAAAACAGGTTAGTGCAAAGAACTGAAAAGGACGTAGAATAAGATACAATCGGTATCACTTTAAAAGCTGCAGAATCTTTCTGTGTATTTAAATGTTCTTTATCATCATGCTATTTAATTCTGAAAAAACTACCATGGAAAATTCTTACACTCTGCAAAGCATGTTTCTCTTCACTTGAAAAAGAATCACATACATTTAAAAAAAAATGCTTAGACTGGGCTGGTGAGATGGCTCAGTGGTCTAAAGCACCTACTAAGAACAAGCTTAGCAAAGCACAGGGACCGCGGTTCAATCCTCCAGCACCACATGCCAGCCAGCCCTGCCCCCTGGTGGGCTGAGCTGGCCCCCCCCAATAAAAAAATGCTTAGACTGAAAAGACAGGTTTTGAGAACTTAAGGTTTTCCAAGCGTAGTTTTAGGATAGACTGATAGTTACTTCAAATTTTATTAAAGTATTTTAAGACAATGAGCAAGTACGGTCTCATTAAGTTGGGTACAAAAATTTTATTTTACTCAGTAGTGGGTCCTGTCTATAACCCCAGCGCTTGGGAAGCTGAGGCAGGAAGGTTGCCATGAATTTGAGGCCAGTCTGGGTTACATAGGGAGTTCAAGGCCAGCCTGAATCACATAGTGAGACCAGTCTCAAGCTTCACCCACCAAACAAAAAAATTTTGTTTCTTTTTTTGTGTCCTAAGTGGTCCAAGATTACCTAATGGTGGTATCAAGGAATGTGTAAATTAATGTATTCACACTGACTAACTTGTAGTTTCCCAAATTATGTAAGATATATCAGAAGGAATGGTTATTAAGAAACAAAAAAGGGGGGTCTGTACAGTTCTGGAATGTTTAATTAGCCAAGCAAAGGAAAATCAGTCCTGTCCTCTGCTTGCTTCCACATCCAACACGAAAGAAAAAAAATCTATTCTTTTACATCCAAATCTTTCCAGTCAACGCTTCCTCTAACCCTTCTCCCCTCTTATCACAGCACACCCTCTCCATCTCCTACCCTTGATTCCTGCCAAAGGAAGATGTTCCCAAAAGACCCTACCTGTTCCAGCAAGAAAAGACTACTAGGGGTGCCAGGGAGGTGGCTCACTGGAATAAGTGCTTCCCTGGCAAGCACAAGGGCCTGAGTTCAATCCCTGGTTCCGCAAAAAAAAAAAGACAACTAGGAATGACAAAAACATCTTGGGGTCAGGAACCATTCATTCAGTCACATGATAAACATTCAGGTAGCACCTAATACATGCCAGATACTTTGCTTAGTGTGAAGAGGACCACAACGAACGCGAAGGTCATGCTCTTACGCTTACTGTACTTAGATTCCCATAGGGAAAGACAAATAATAAGCAAATACAGCAACAGAATTCCTGACAGTGGGACACTGTCTAAAAGGCCAACTACAGGTGTAGACAACAAGGACAGAGTCAGGGATAGATCCCTCTCAAAATGGTATCTGAACAAAAAGTGAACAGTAAGAAAGAACTGGGCCAGCTGAGAAACAGCCAATGGCAAGCCTTGGAGGCAGGAATAAGCTTGATTCAGTCCAGCAAGAGGTTAGGTGGCTGAAGTGCACTGTGTGGTCAGAGAGACAGGCCAGGGCAGAAGATGGAGTTTGGATTCTAAGCTCAAGCGAAAAAGACGTGTTGGGCATCACTGACAGCACAGCCCTGCTCTGTGGAGACTGGGCTTGCTGCTGTCACGAACGTGCTTTCCTTCCTGCATCACTGTGAAGAGGTCTGCAGGATCAGTGAGGGCAGGGCTTAGGCTGTGCATCTGACACTACACCTCTAACACTGTGCTCAGCACACTGCAGGCACTTGAGAAATGCAGGCTCAGTGAGATGAAGGGAGTGCGAAGACATAATGAATACTGGAATTACATTTTTCATTGCAAAATGCCTCTCGGCATACAGATTGCTTTGCAAATATTAACTGACCCTGGCATTATTTTTAATGAAGTAAACAGAAATCTTGGAGTTTTAAATTGTGAAGTTGCTTCTAATCTCATAACCACACAAGCTCAAGCACGAACAATTCTTCTTTAGTACTCTCCTCTGTACATAGGTAGCTTTAAAAAATCACTGTTTGCTCATTATCTTAGTCTTTCAATAATGTATAACATTAGAATTAATTCTTTTTCTATTTAATGAATAGGCAAAGGAATTGAAAAGATCTCAAAATGCAAAAGCCCAACCCAACCCAAATAACTTACTCTCCAGTTGTGGAAACATTGCTGACTTGGGATACATGTGCACTGTGGAAAAGAAGAAAAGAGAAAGGAAGTCAGGTGCAGGTTGGGTGCAGGATCGCAGGAGTGGACCCACATACCCTAAGAGAGCACAGGCCAAAGGTGGAGGCAGCACCTCATGCCCCTCACATGACATTTAACTTCCGTTGCTGGATGCCCATTTACACTCCTTCCTGGATGCAGAAATGACCCTGTTGCTTCTTCCTGAACAGTGGGCTTCTCTCCCATGTGAAGATGTCCACTAGAGACAGCTTCACAAGTGACCTTGGAAGGTCATCATCTCTTTGCTCTCGCCCTACTGTCACAGACCTGGTCTTTCTTTTAATTTTCTCCAAGTATTAATGCAAATGCTGCCATCCACCTTCCTGTGACCTGCTCCACTGATCTGATGCTCTCCCCGGTCCAAATTCACCCATCCCCAGGGCTGCAGAGAGAAACATTTTTCTAAAACTGCTCAGAATAAGGCGAGGGCAGCACGGACCATAGGGATCGAGAACAAAGAACCAATATTGTTTTCTACACAGTTATTTCTTTTATTTTTAATAAAAAATTGTATTTACTTAGAGGCATTCAGAATGTCAACAAAGCAGTTGTAACATTTTTTTTTGCAATTACAGAGTGGTATTCATTTAACAGAACAACAATTATTTCATTTAAAGCTGCATCAGAGACAACTGAAGATGTAAAACTACTACTAATAGATATAACTAATTTGTGCTGTGCAACAACAAGAACCTGCTTTAAATTTCCATGCCAATTTACAACCTCCATATTGTACCAGGCAAGGTTAGTGGCTAGTGAAAATACCACCAGGACAGGGCTACCTAAAGATACATTCGGTAGTTTGTTAACTATACAAAAAAGAAAGACACTGTACAGTTTAGAAACAAATCTTACACAGCCTTACATTTCTAAGTTTTTCTTCAAAAGGAGTGAGTTGTGTACAGGGGGGTTAAATGCTTTATAGACAAAAAGAAAAAACTGCACTAGAATCAACTTATCATCCTCTTCCTCATCCTCCTCATCCTCTTTATTTTCTTCCTCCTCTTCATTCTCATCTTCCTCCTCCTCCTCTTCCTTCTTTTTCTTGCTTTTTACATCCTTGATGACTCCCTATTTTGCTGTATCAGGTTTTCCTTTAGGCTTGTAGGCAGCGAAGTCCTTTTCATACTTCTCCTTCAGCTTAGCAGCCTTCTTCTCATATGTCTGCTTCTTATCTGCTGCAGTATTGTTCCACATTTCTCCAAATTTCTTTGCAACATCACCAATGGAGAGGCCAGGATGTTCTCCTTTGATTTTTGGGTGATACTCAGAAAGGAACAAGAAGAACCCTGAAGGAGGCCTCTTGGGAACATCGGGATCCTAGAATTTCTTTTTTGTTTCTCCTTTAGGAGGAATATAAGTTTTCATTTCTCTTTCATAATGGGCCTTGTCCACTTTTTGTCTACAAATTTTCCTTTTTCTTTAGCAGACATGGTCTTCCACCTCTCTGAGCACTTAAATCTCTGAGAAGTTAACAGAAGCATCTGGGTGCTTCTTCCTGTGCTCCTCTCGGCAAGTTTGCACGAAGAATGCATATGATACATCTTGCCTCTTGGCCTCTTTGGATCTCCTTTGCCCATGTTTACTTGTTCTCCCCAATGAGGTACAGAGTCACCCAATGCCCGTCTGGCTCTCACTTGCCCCGGCACTGTCTCTATGGAGCTTAATGTGCTGCAATGGCTGTGGGAGCCAGAGCCAGACGTACTCTCCTCACTCTCTCTGCTCTGTAACCTCTACACAGTTATTTCTAAGCCCTCCTTTCTTCCAAATGTCCTCAAGAAGGAAATTGTCTGGCTATCCAAATAATTGATTTATAACCTTTTTGTTGAGTGCTTATACCCCCTCTACTTCCCCATAGTCTCCAAAGTCTGAATTCTTTTGAAAGAATGAAAAAGCAGTCAGCATAGAGTGACAAAATTATCCAACACTGCTGAGGAGTGCCCTGCACACTTGTGCTCTGCTTTCACATACCAGAGCCAAAAGGGAGGCCAGAAGCTACTTGCACGGTACTGAATCATTACTTTCCCCCATTCTTCTCCCTAGTGCTTAGCTTCAAAAGTTGCTATTACATATTACCAAATACGTAAGTATGTTTCACACACTGTGCTAAGTACATTTCACAAAGATCTTCTCATTTACTCTCTAAAATTGCCCTGCAGGGTAAAAGAGGTTAAGCATTGATCCGATCAAAAAACTTATGAATTGATTATAGTTTTGACAAACTATATAACAGTTCCTTTTTCTTCCTTCCTTGGAGAAGACAAATGAGGAAAATCAAAACTGTTAATGATCAATATTGATGGTTGCCTGTCAGTTGCTCCAGATCTTCTCAGGAGGCTATGTAATTTTCAACATATGAACATGTTGCTTTGGCCTCAGTTCTGAGGCTTTTCTCCAATGTTAAATATGCACCTTATCTTCCCATTCAGAGTCAAAGCACCTCAAGGGGCTGTTTGATAGTGTGCATTTTCTGTCACTGTGCTCCTGCCACCCCCACCGTACCTGCCGCTCATTACCCCAGAAGTGAGTACTTCGGCCCCCATTCTTTGCTTTAGTTCAAGTTGCAAGTCTTTGTTGTGGCCATAGACATGAAAAACATAAAATCATGCAAAAGGGAGCTCATTTGAAGAATCCTAAATTGTATTACCAAATACGTAAGTATGTTTCACACACTGTGCTAAGTACATTTCATAAAGATCTTCTCATTTACTCTCTAAAATTGCCCTGCAGGGTAAGCTTGACTGTTTTCAGATGAGATTAAGGGGTTGAATAACTAGTCTACAGCCATGCAGCCAAGAAACAATTGAGCTGGGATTTGAACCAAGAAAGTCTGAGCTCAGAGTCTCTCTTACTGATGTCGTGACTGCCTTTCAATGCATTACTCACTAGAAGCAAAACACACTGCAGTCTTCTTTGTATTTGGAGGCCAGGATTTAGTATTTTACTTTGCCTTTCATCATGGCCATTTCTCTGCTGCCTCCTGCCGCTCGTTATCCACAGCACATAACCAATAGTAAACTCTGTGCAGCTCTCAGTCCTTAGTGGAACAGGCAATCTCTGCTTCTGATGTTTTGTGGCTCATCCTCCATAAACGCAACACTGTATAATTAACTCCTGCACTCTGGGTCTCAGGCTAGTTACACAATCTTGGTTGCGGGACTAAAGTGAATGATTCAGGGAGAAATCAGAAGAGGAAAAGAACCGACCTGCTAGATGCTAAACAACATTCCAAAGATAAATCATTAGCCAGTTGGTCTCCTCTGGGTCCCAGAATGAAGAGCTGTATTTCCTGCCCTCCCTTTTACACTTTTGACCTACCCTTATTTTTGCCTATGAAAGCAGACCAATGTATTTTTTTTTTGTTTGTTTTTGCAGGGCTGAGGAGCTAACCCAAAGCCTTGCACAAACTGGCAAGTGCAGAACCAGTGAACTATAACCTCCAGCCACAGACTGATTTTGTTGTTGCTGTCCTTTTCTCAGGGTGGGGAGAGGCAAGGAAAAGTGAAGAAGAAAGAGACAAGGAAATAACAGGGTCAAGTTTTCAGATTTCTAATTGTCTAAATAAGTAATTCTCAAACCCCAGGGTCTGTAGGAATCCCCAGGACTTGTTAATTTGTACACATATTGCAATTCAGGAGCTCTCAGTATAAGAAAGTTTTTTTTTTTTGTTTTTTTGTTTTTTTTAAATGGTGTTGGAGATGGAACTCAGGGCCTCTCACACACTAGGTAAGTACTCTACCACTGAACTACCTCCCTGGCCAGATTGTGCATTTTAAATAAATTGCCAGTGATTTGGATGCTGTAGGTTTATAGGAGACACTTTAGATAGGGAAGTTCTTGATCTTTTCAATTAAAAATTCCTTAAAAACTTTGCTATCACACAGCTATTTTAAAACATTCTAATCAGAGAAAATAATGAGGGTAAGATAGGAAAAACTCCTGCTCACCTTGGTGAATGAAAACCCAATACATTAAAATTTCCTCTACAGGGGGGTGGGGAGATGGCTCAGTGGAATAAGTACTTCCCTGGCAAGCACAAGGGCCTGAGTTCAATCCCCAGTTTCGCCAAAAAAAACAACCAAACGAAAAAAAAAAAATTTCCTTTACAGCTTAAAAGAAAAATGACCCGAATAGTCTCAATCAATAGTACAGAATCCTTCTCAGGATGCAGAAATCAATAAATCAATAGTTAATCATATTCATTTTTGCTAGTGTATTTATTTTAGACAAGATTTATGCTACATTTATATTTTATATTTTTAATAGTTCTTTAGAGTTGGCAGTTTATGTAACTTGTTTATAATTCCATGTCTTCCAATGAATTATGAGAAGAAACTATTTCCCATTGGGAATCAGAAAAGAGAAGTTGTGGTCTCGGTGCTGCAGTTAATTGTGTGAAATCTCAGGCAGGTTGTTGGTTAGCTTGGCAGCTTTGGGCTGGTTTAATCATACAGAAAATGAAAGGCTTGGTGAGGGGACTCTGTGGTTCTCACTTAGCTCTACAGTTAAAAAAACAATCTCATATTCAAGCTTATTGGCCTAAAGCTTAAGTCATTGCAAAGGCACATTTAGTTTTATGACACAGTATCTGTTATGCTTATGGTTTATTAGATACCAAAAGATGTTTAATAATTCACCAAAAATAAGATTTCTATGAAAATTTAATGAGAGCAATAAGAAAGGCCATAGCTATATCTGACTCACAGAGGAAAGCTGAAGAGATCGAAAAAGCAAAAAAGCATTGAGACAATAAGCAAATCAATTAAAGTGAAATATAATATTGTTTCTTTTATCTACAGGTAACTTGGTTTTTTAACTTCTGCACACAAATAAGATGAATGTATTTTTCAGAATGAGTTGGTGAGAGTTTCTTACACTCTATAAACAGGGGTAATGCAAGAGCTCGTTTCCTAGTGTTGACAAAGCAAGCATTCAAAAGCAAAAAAAGGAAGGGCTGGCCAGAT